ATCAATCATGACATGCGGGCTATTCTGGTCGATTGGCTTGTTGAGGTGAGTTCACAGAATTAAATTAATATTATCAGTATTCTTGTTTTAAATCTTTTATATGCACTTGACTTATTATGTGGGAACTCTCATGCGCAATTTCTCTGATTTTTCTAGGTTTCGGATGAATATAGAATGGCCCCGGACACACTACATTTGACCATAAATCTTATAGATAGATTCCTATCTCATAATCTCATCGAGAAGCAAAAGTTGCAACTTGTTGGAGTAACCTGCATGCTAATTGCTTCGTAATCTCTCTCTCTCTCTCTCTCTCTCTCTCTCTCTCTCTCTCTCTCTCTCTCGACTTCAATTATTGTACATATGTATTTTCACAGGATGGAGCTGTTTTAAGTTCCTTTTCATTTTTTTTTTCTTTTTATCTAGTTTGCTTTAAGTTTTTATTTCAATTTTCTGTACCATTATACTACCATTCGGTTTTACTTGTTGTAATCTGTTGTTTTATACTGACTAAAGGAAATACGAAGAAATATATGCTCCCTCTGTGGAAGAATTTTGCTTCATTACTGATAATACATACACGAAAGATGAGGTATGCCATAGTCTTGTCACTTTATCTTATCTTATTTCCATTATATAATCATTTTATCATTTTATCTATTGTGAGCTTCGCGAAATCTCGGTTTGGTGCGTTTTAATGAAGTAATTGAGCTGAGATAATCAGTTTTATTTCATTTTCTGGTTGACACGATTAACAGGTTGTCAAAATGGAAAGTCGTGTTCTGAACTGTTTGAGCTTTCATTTATCGGTTCCCACCACAAAGAAGTTCCTCAGGTACCCCTCTGCCCATGTGTTAATTGCAAAAAGATACCTATGTTCAGTGTATTTACAGAAAAAGCCCAGTTATATCTTTTGCCTCGAGTGAATATTTGTAATTAAGCCGAAGCTCATGGGTGGTTTCTGCAAATATCCCGTATTACTTACTCTGCTTCGAAAAATTTCACTCTTATGTCCACAGGAGATTCATTCATGCAGCACAAGTTTCGTACGAGGTTAGATGAAAAATCAAAATCATGTTTTCACGATAAATAAGCCTTTTATTTTTAGTCCACTAAAAATCAGGCACTCCCCATTTTTTTCCAGGCTCCTTTAGCCGAGCTCGAATTCTTGGCGAATTATTTAGCTGAATTAACACTACAGGAGTACAGTTTCCTCAAATTCTTACCATCCCAAATTGCTGCATCTGCTGTTTTTCTAGCAAGATGGACACTTGATCAGTCAAACCATCCATGGGTTTGATTTTATTTTATTTTTTCCCTAAGATTTTATGCCTTACTACAAGTTTTAACTCAATACAAATTATTTATATATATATATATATATATATATATATATATATATCTTCCTTTTTTTTCCTTTTTCAGAATTCGACTTTGGAGCATTATACACGGTACAAAACAACCGAGCTGAAAAATGCAGTTTCAGAACTGCAAGAGTTGCAGCTAAACACTCGAGGGTGTTTGCTTAAGGCCATTCGCGAAAAATATAAGCAACCTAAGGTTCGTTTTAGATCTCCAGCTTCTATCTCAAAATTTTTTCTTTAAGGATTTGGCAAAGACTAAAAGAAACCAGCTTCTATTTTGGGCTTTTACAGTTCAAGTGCGTCTCGACTCTTTGTTCGTCAAGACAAGTGCAATCACTTTTCTAAGGAAAACTGTTTTTACCACAATTGTTGTACCGTTTGCAGCTTTCCTTGTACCAGTTGATAAAAGACTTCATTATCGAGCTATTTAGTTTGGCTCATGTACAAAAATTTCTGTAACAATTGAGTTGATTGATCTTCAATACAATAATTTTGATATTCATCATACTAAATTCTGATTCTTGTTTGACTTGTCACAATTTTTCATTCTTATATCACTAGCTACGTAAAAATCTCTTACTGCAGAAATTAGAGGAGATAATCATCCAACTTCAAACTATATAAACACCAATCTTAACGAGTGTGCATTTGCACTATACACACTTAACAATAAGTTCAGACAGAAACAAAAGATGAAAGCAACTGCAAATCATTTTCAGAAATTCTTTATGGATATATATCCATAAAAGCAAGCACAGCTGAAGAAGAAGAAGAAGAAGAAGAAGAGTGCTTTATATTATTACCACTCAAACTTTCCAAAGTTACAACAGCAATAACAACAAGTTTACATAAAAGAAAAAGAAGAAAAAGAACAAAATATGTTAGTTTACACTACACACCTTTGTTTCGATAGATAAAACCACTAAGGTGAAAAAAAAAAAGACTTGAAATGCACAAGAAAACATATCTAACATATGCACAAGCTGTTTACTGAATTACCAGAACAGCAGTTTTTTCGGCAATTGGCTGGAGACTCGCGATATTTTCCAAGTGCTCCCATACTTGCCTCCGTGTTTCGGCTACTGAATTTGACTTTTCCTGTTCCTTTCGGAAATTACAAATGCAGGACGATGTTAAGGTATCGTCCATTTCTGTAAGAATTTTTCGTACGTTTACGGTTAAGTTGAGCACAGCTTGGTTCCAGTGGCTTTGTGCATTTATTTCAAGAGCTGGGATTATTATGGGAAGAATAACTTGACCATTGTGCAAAATAAGATTCACGATTTGGTCGTTATTCCAAAGGAACAATGCCCTCTCAGCAACCTGGATTTAAAAAAAAAAAAAAATTAATAATAATAGTAAGAAAGAAAAGATTTTATCAATAATGGGGTTGAATTCATGCTACCCATATGGGTAGTGCCCCATGAGGTTTTTAGCAACAAATTTCACACACACCCATGTGGGTGTGTGTGTGAGTGTGTGGCTAAAAACCCCATGGGGTAGCATCGAATTTGCCCAATAATGCATGTTAGGATTCATACTAATTTTGCCAGATAAAATCACAACAACTAATCCCAGTTTTCGATCTAACAGTCGTGAGTTATGCAGTCGAACGTTTTCAAGACAGACATTTAAAAGGCTTATATGTAGAGTCAAGAGAGAAAAAATGGAACTTTGTGAATGAGCTGCATTGCTTAAAGATATAATTAACGAAAGATTATGAGATAAAAACGAGTGAAATGCAATAAAGCAGCTAACTTCCTGAGAAAGTGAAAGGTAAAATCATCCATAAGCAACCAGCATGAATACACACATTAGATCAAAAGTCAAATAAACACCACCATCAACTGATAACAGAACAAGAAGGCAAATCAATGTAATAATGTGTGCATTATCTTTTTAGTTTGTTCAGTTGAAAGCTATATATATAAAGCATGTCTGAAAGACTGAAATACAACTAGTGCCACCTATAAAACTTAGATGAACAACTGGAACATATGAAGATTACTGAACAAAGGGGCAAAACAGGAAAAAAAAACCCTGAAAATGATAACTAGTTATGCAGTATTTAATCCGACTGAACAACGGAACCATAATCTTATGAAACTCGCCCATGCTGATCACCTCCAAAATCTCCTCAACCTCGCCTAAAAAAATCGCCTCCTTTTGACTATTCGTAATTGGCCAACACCTCAACAGCCCCATTATAACACCACTAGCCAGCTTAGGCTCCTTCTCTACAAACTGAGTCACGCAATACGAAAGCTGCTGAAAATAAACCCCCAACGACTTAGGCCTGTGCAGAGGGAGCAAAGCCCGCCAAAAGAATATTCTATGCTCCTCTTTCAGAGGCAGAGCAAAGCCCGTAATCACTCCCAAAAACGTCGAGCAGCTCGGCTATCCCATTGTGTTTTTCCATCTCGAAAACAAATCTGTAAAACACATTGCTCACGCACTTTCTTATAAACGGCTTGTGAATCATAAACTTGCCGTAAATCCTATGGAGAATAGCTTTCAGACAGTCCCTTTCGCGAGGGTCCTCCGAGTCGAAAAGATCGATTATTTTAGATATGAACGAGTGGTTTATGTACTTTTTCGCGATCTTCGTCTCGAGTGAGGATGATGTCACGAGCTTGAGGAGAAAATCGTACATGATCTGCAAATGGGCCCACGCGGGCTCAAAAGCGGGCTCGTCATTCCCGGCCAGGCTCCGGGCCCTCGAGCAGGAATTTGGAGGGAAAACGCGGAAGAGCTTTATCGAGCACATCTTGCACGATGCTTGGATCAGAGGCTCGGTTAATTTTGGGGGATTTTCAGACAGAAACTCGAGGAGCTCGAGCAAAGTTGCCCGTTTGAGCTCCTTCTCATGAACATTCTTGGAGGGGTCTGTGAAGTCAAAGACCACACAGCATAGGCTCAGCTTGCTGATGAAAAGGTTCGTTCTTTCCGAGCTAGGGACATCTTTGAAAGCAAGGAGCGGCTCGATTCCAGCAATTATGCTAGCTGGAAAAACGGCGGCTGAGGCCCGTTTGGCAGCGTTTGTGGAAGAATTAGGATTTCTGGGTGAATCTTGATCGCGTCTGGAGGATTTTCGGGGGAGTTTACTGAAGAATTGCTTCCACATTCTGGGTTTNNNAAAAAGGGTGGAAATTGGCAAGAGGGAGGAAGAAAGTAAAGGGGAAAACTTTCTGGGTTTTTCAACTTCAATTCAAATTAAAGGCCAGGTAAGTGAGCATGGACGTTAAATTTGAGAATATGAGAGAGAGAGAGAGAGAGAGAGCAACCAAATTGAAATATCTTCCAAATAAGTCACAGGACAACTTTTGAAAGGAGAAAAGAGAGGTGTTAAGAAATGAGCAGAAAAATTCCAATAGACCATCAAAACCCAAAACTAAGAAATACTATAAAAATCCAAAACCACACCAATCGCGGGACAAGCCAAACTACCGCATTAAATCCACAAAGATAACACCTTTACACAATGTTTCAGGTAAAATTCCCCCAAAATCATGAATGAGAGTCAGATTTTGAGAAGAAAGCAACAAACCCAACTGGAAAAATGAAAATTAAAACCTCCCAAATCACAATACGACCATACAACAAACATACACACACACAATCACATGCCTATGTATAGAAGCACATCGTAGTAACTAAAGACACCAAATTGTATCTCTATGTGAGAGGCAGAAAATATCAGTGGCTCGAACGGCACAAGTAGCAATATTTAAATCGAAAATCACCTAGGATTCTTCAAACTATAATGGAAAAAAGAAAAACAGAGAAAATAAGCACACGCACACACATGCAGATTACAGAGAAAGCTAGATCTCCAATTATGCATACATTTTACAGCCACATGCATATGTACTTGCAAACAGGGTTGGAGAGAGAGAGAAAGGTGAAAACTTGTGTGTGTATGAATGTGTGTGTCATGGATTAATCATGTAAATTTCGCCATTGATGGGTGGATTTGGAAGGAAAAGAGGGAAAATTAGGGGTGTTGGGGAGAGGAATCAATTTCAATAATTTCAATTGAGTAGTTTTCTGTTTGTTTGCTACTATCTTCTTGTTGAGAAAAGAAGGGACACATGACAGAGTGCAGTTTTTTAACCTTGTCCCCGTAAATTACAGCAAAAAAAGTATCTTTTGTTTTCAAATTTAAATGGACAGTGGAAATTGTCTTACAGTTTGAAAAGTATTTTTCCTATTTTATTAAATTTTAGTTGCTATTAAATTGTTGACAGTGATTCACAATTGATCCATATAAATAACATCAACATCAATGTTGTTGCAATAGATTTTTCAGTTTGAAATATACATATTTTGATTAGAAAATATTATACTTAAAAAAATTATAAAAACAAAAGCATGAGATTTGATGGTATAAGTGAATTTTTAATTTACAAAGTATGATATATCAATTCGCCTAATGGTTAAACCGAATCACACGCAAATTTGTGATGTTGTTGCCAGCTATGTGATATAATTTAGGCCGAATCACACAAATTTGTGATGTTGTTGTGAGCTATGTGATGTGATATTAAATAGTTGGACATTTATTTTTTCGAGAAAATTGCACCATATACTAACAGTTTACATTTTAATTGCAATTATGTACAGGCCTTGTAAATATTCACATTTTAACATGATGATCACTTTTTAATTGCAAAAATACGATTGATATTATCTCACGTAATTAAAGGTAAAACTATCTCTTCCATAATAACTATTCACTATTAATTGGTAAGTTATTATCTCACACAGGTAACCTCCCAATTTCAACCAAGTCAACACAAGTTCTCCTCATCTCTACCACCTCTGTAACCGAAACCCTATCTCCCATCGTCTCTCTCCCACTACGTTCTTTGCACCCAAGTTCAGCCATGGCAAGAACTAAGTTCAGAAGAAGTCCGAACTCTGGCGCTGAGATACCCCCTCACCGAAGATCGAGCTCTCGCCTTCAAAAGTTACAAGGCAAAAAAAAAAAAACCTACAGTCGTGCAAAAAAAGCTCAACTTCGAAAAATCCATGAAACCCAATAACCCTACGAAATCACCGCGCAAGAATAGAAACGAAAATAATGATTCTCTATCAGATCCCCAACATTTTCGGTCGGACCCAGTTGACAAAAATCAAAAAGGTGCACGGGGACGGAGTAAAGGAAATAGACAGCAAATGCTAGAAAATTGGGCAAATTCTGATTCCAATTTCGAAGATGAATTTCAGAAGGAAGATGGTGAAAATGAAGCATTCTCGAGCGAAGAAGACATTGACGAGCCACAAATTGAAGAAAAAGACAAGAAACGAAAATTGAAAGATTAATCGAGATATGACCCGTCAAAGAAGAGGTCCAAGCCAAGTGTCGATTTGAGAAATTCGAATGAGAATTTGGATAGAAGTGCCAAGGTAAATTTACCCGTCAGTTTAAATAGTATTATGAGAGAAATATTATTTTTTTTTTTCTCTTTGTTTGGGTGATTGAATATATGATTGGCAACATTTCATGACTTTTTGTACTTACTTGTGGATGTGGGGGTTGTTGATTTTCACAACATAAGTTAGTTATGATGGATGTGGTGTTTGTTTAATATGTATGCTTTATGTGATCCCGTCGTTGGCCAAAGTTATATTGTATATATTATGTATATGTCAAGCATATGTGTACATACCAAACATCTTTATATGCATTCGTATGATTCAGTATATGATATGTATATATTTCTGCAAATGCTATGTTTTGCTAGGTATATATTTTGCACATGAGTTGGAGCTATATTGTATATATTATGTATATGTTAAGCATATTTGGCCATACCAATCATCTTTATATGCATTGTGTATATTTCGTGTATATAAGACATGTTATGGGACATGCATATATATTTGTATATTCATTTCATCAGAACATATATGAGTTTTCAACTAAGCGTAACATAGTTGACTATTCATATAACCATAACAGGGGTTATTTTTTGTGTACTTTTTTTTTTTTATTTATTTTTTTTTTTCAATGGTTGTGGTGTGTTTGTTGCATCATTCGCCGAGCACTTCATTTTTGATGTCGACATTACACGGAAGAAGTACTATCCCAGTTTAGAGAGGCATAGATATGCATACCTGCTCTATAAGCATAGGCAAATGAAGATAGAAAATGATCTTGATAGCGAAGATGAATCTCCCGGCACACTCTCGGACACTTCCCGTTTCAGTTTAATTAAATGATTTGGTTTTGTTATGTTTGGTGAAATGTTGACACTACTTAACTTTTGGTTTGTGTTTGGTGACACTTCCCGTTTCAGTTTATTTAGGATTTTGTTATGTTTGGTGAAGGCACAACTTAACTTTTGGTTTGCGTTAGTATTAACAACATTATAACTTTTGACGCTACTTAATTTTTATTTATTTTTTTTTTGTTTGTGACTTCAATTTTTTTGTATCTACTATCTATTAACATATTAATATTAACATATTACAAATGAATATAAGTTGTATATGATCTGTATAAAATTCTGTTATATATACATGTCTGACATACCAGTACAATACAAACTGAGCTTTAAAAGCATATAAACTGCAAAAAAACACTTTTATTGAATATGATTTATATATGATCTGTATATATTACGGAACACATACTGAAATTTTCAAATTTATCTATAGCGAATATTATATTACTATGAATATCATTTGTACATAAATGTATATGATCTATATATAATATGGAACCCAGAATCTGTGTATACGTTACTTGGTGTTTACCTACATATAATACGGATCACATTCCGGATACTTAAAATATTATCACAGTGTCGTTCTAACTTGATTGTATATGTTCTGTTTATGTTTTGTATATAATCTGTATATGTTATTATCGTGTATGAGCTGTATTTTTCTTGTCTGTGTATTTCCAGTATTTTAGGAGAGATAGTACGTTTCAAATTCAAAATATGATTCCTTCCAACTTACCTACAAATAGGTTCCTAACAATTAGGTTATATCCACTTACCTATTTTTTTCCAATTGACTTGCGTGAGAGAGATAGTTTGCTTGAGAGAGAGGGTGTGATTCATGAAAACTGAAACCCTTAATTAGCGGCCAGTTTTAATTCAGCCTAAAATAAAGACACTGACCCCAATTAAGTATTATTGCTAATAAATTAGTCTATATCGTAAAATTGCAATATCTTAATATTCTTGTGGTAAGAGAAAAATTTCGCCTTTTTTTTCACTAGTCCATATTCCGTGCAATGCACGGGACACATAGATTAAATGAGTCACTTTCATACACCTTGTTTGTTGCACAAAAAACAATAGAGTTGGATCATCCATTTTCCACCTATTTTAATTAGTGATGTTTATTTTAACCAGAACGTTAACATGTTAATTAATATATTAGTACGCTAACACATTTGTACTAATATAAATTTGATTTAGAATATATACTTATTCATTGATACAAGAAAAGAAAAATGTTCTTATTCTTGTTCATCATAAAATACTCAGTATTATTTTATTATAAAATTTATTGTCTTATAATGTCATTATTAATTTTATAAAAACTATAGAGTAGTTTTATTCTTCTTAATTTATGTAATTAAAAATATTAATATACATAAATTTTTACAAATTAATGTGTATAAATGTTTACAAAATACACACACATGTTTTTTAGAATATAACTTTTTCATAATAATTAACAAATTTTGATTTAGCAATTGCTAAAAAATAAATCTCTTATGCAATTAAGAGATTTTTCTAATTTGCATCTCAAGATTTTGTAGTTTATTTACAATACTATGCAATGAAAGATGTTTTACAATAAATTCATTATGGAAATAAATGAAACAAAAATGATAAAAAACTATAATGGTTGACAATAATATACAAATAAATCATAAGTTGAAATTTTAAGGAATAGTTAATATATTTTAATTTTATTATCTATTTCTTAGTAAAATTATTTAATACATTTGATCATTATCTCTTAAATAGTAAATTATTTTAATTTAAATTTTTTAATATAATTAAATAAAAGTTAAAAAATATTGTCGGCATATATCAATTCACCAACTTAATTTCGCCTAGTTAGTCAGAAGGAGAAAATCACCCAACATGTTACGATTGTTTATAAATATTTTACTATGAAAGTCAATATTTGTGAAAATAATTAATAATATTTTAAAGACTTAAAATTTAT